AATAAATGAGAATTTACAACCATCAAACGCAAGGCACCAACACTTTCAAACTAATTGAGACCCTTGGATTACCCATCAAACGCAAGGGCACCAACCATTCATATCCATCTTGGGTAAAATTTTATATCTCAAATTCTATTTTATAATGAAAGCTTCGTGCTTTTTTATTTTTATTTTTTCATTCCCTCTTCTTCTTTTTGTTATAGGCTCCAGACGATTCTATGCATGCTAATTGCAACCATTGGACAAGAAGCAGAGTTCAAAGCTTTGACTGATTGTGGGTAAATCTCAACTTTACCTATTCAGTTTTTAGGATTTTTTTATTATTAATTTTTTTTACTATTTGTATTTAGTATCTCTAAGTAAATTTTAGTTTGTATTTACTGACACGAATCAAAGAACAAAGATTATCATAATCAAGGGTTTATATTATTGTGTTAATTTACACTGCATATTATTTTGATAAAAATATCTGCATATTATATAGGGTTTTAACATCCAGATGGCAAAAAGTTTAATTTCTATCTAACCAAAAATCTGTTTACTCCCAACCCTTCTCGATGGGATACGACGACTTCTTCTTTGATGCGGTTGTAGAATGAGGTCGAAGGTGACTAGGCTATGGAAATTACTGAGACTTCAAGACGGAGAGGGTTGGGATGAAGATCAAAGATTTATGTCGAGAACCTAGGCATTGTAAGTTTCTATGTATACCAAGATGTAATTAGAATTTAATTAAACTGCCCTACGCAATTGGCAATTGTACTGAATAATGAAGGAATAAATATGTGTGTTCGATCCTACTTATCCATATATATAAGCAGTAGAAGTGTTTAAAAATTAAAATTTCAAATTTGGACCTACGATGACCTGCGGCATGTTTTTTCTAACAACTGTGGGGCAAATGTACTCTTCCAGTCAAAACGTCACTAATGTACTCTTCCAAAAAAGAGTACTCAAGAAAGTTTTTCGAAAAGCAAATACTGAATTTTTATTCTTTTTTCTTAAATTTAATTTGATGGCAATTTAAAGCGTTGTTTTGTTTGCTATCATTTAGACATAAAGTTCTACTTTATAGTGGCCTTTGTTATGTAAGAGATTGATAGGAACATCATGTTTAGCTTCATTCTGTTTATGTTCTTTTCTCTTTTCAAGTTATGAGGCTTAAAATATCTCAGTTCAAACTTCAAAGACAAGTCATTTTGGCTTCTCCATTTATCTCATGAAAATACAAATTTGGGAGGATCACGAAAAGGTTAAATTTTATTTGCAATAAAAAAAATGCATGCATTCAACGTCCAAGCCAAGAAGGGGATTGAGTTCATATGATTAACAAACACGATCATCCATAGCATAGATTATTGACCCGTTGAAATGTACTTTTCAATGGTTTGGCATACAAATTTGGGAGGACCAAGGAAAGAATAGAGACTGGATAATAGGTCATTTCATCTTATTTTTTTGTTAATTTATATTCAAAACAACCTATGAACGGGTCCAAGTCTTTTCCATGATCATGGTGGAACTATGTACGTCTTGATAATAATAGTTTATTGTACTAGAATTGGGCTGTTTAGCTTGGTAGCTAATTGTGATCTCCATGCTAATTGTTTGTGTGGGTTGTTAGAAAACACTAGAGAGAGCGAGACAATTTTATTTGGTATTAGATTGGTTAAAAGAAGAAGACAACATGTTTTTCTCAATAAAAATGCAAGTTTCATTAAACTTGGAGTGACCAACCAAGTTTAGTGAGTTTGTATGGAACCTAAACCTACAATGTCACTATTAATGTCTATACCAAATGGATAACAATGGTAAATAACTAACGCAACGCATCTTTAGGGGTGCGTAGCGCCGTGATTAGAAAAAGCCTCTCACATGTGCATGAGCGCGTGCGGGGAGAGGCTAGTTAAATATAAAATCCCTACACAAACTTGCATTCTTTTCCTTCTTTTATTTTTTTATTTTTTTATTTGTATATGGGAACTAGTTCAAAGATTTGTGTGATTTGTTCCATGCAGTTTTTAAGGCCATCTCCAACCGATGGCTGGCCAGAGGGCTCGTTTTAGCCCTCTGGCCCTCCAAGATTCTCCAAGATATTAATATTTTAATGAACAGTACAGGGCCATATTTGCCTCCGTCTCCAACCGAGGGCCAGAGGGCCAGAGGGCTCGTTTTAGCCCTGTAAAAAAAAACCGTCTCCAACCGAGGGCCAAAGGGCCATAGGGCCAAACATAATTTATTATTTAAAAACTACAACTTAATTTTATTTAAAAATCATGTTGGTTAGTGTTGTATAATTTTTATGTCGGTTAATGTTATTTAATGTTGTTTCATATTGTTTAATGTTGTTTCATGTTACTTAATTTAATTTATGTTGTATAATGGCTTAGGAAGTTATAGGAAAAAATTAGAATTTTAAAAAAAATATGAAACAAATTTTGTGAAATAGAAGTTATATTTAAAAATGGAATTTAAAAAAAAAAAATTTTAAACAAAATTTTGAAATAAAAATAAAAGTTATAGAAAAAAAAAAAAATATGAAACAAATTTTGTAAAATAGAAGTTATAGGAAAAAATAGAATTAAAAAAAAATTGAAACAAATTTTGTAAAATAGAAGTTATAGGAAGTTATAGAAAAAAAAAGAAAAAAAAAAGGTTTAAATTCATAAAAAAAAAAGGTTTAAATTCATAAAAAAAAAAAAAGGATTTACAACGGCTAGTGGCGCTAGCCGTTGGAAGTTTGAATTCAAAATGTTATTTCTGTCGGTTGTAACCGACAGAAATAATATATATTATATTATTTCTGTCGGTTATAACCGACAGAAATAAGAAACATTAAAAAAAAAAATAGCCAGCCCGGGGCTGGCTGGCTGGCCGAAAGCAGCCAGCCCTCCAGCCCTCCAGCCCTCTCCGATCCCGTGGGGCCCTCCCAGATTCCCGAGCCCTCTGGCCTAGCCCTCAGTTGGAGACGGTTTTAGGGCTATTTTCGGCCCTCTGGCCCTCTAGACCCTTCGGTTGGAGATGGCCTAAGTATCCCAAAGGAGTCCACAACGTGCACAAAGTGAATGGCACTGGCTTTCAGCAATGTGCAGCTCCATTAGACAGTGTGCCATTAACTAGTGGAAACGACTTGGTCACCTTTGCAACCCCGGGAAGAAAATGGTACATTTGCGGTGTTGGTCAGCATTGTAAAGCGGGGAACCAGAAGCTTCTTATAACTGTGATGCCATCATCCGCTCCTAGCCCAAGTACCAGTTATACTGCCTCAAGCCCTAGCACCTCAATCCCTTACACCTCTGCCGCAACAGGAATTGCTGGAACAAGATTTGGGTGGAGGATGACCGTTGTTTTTGGCTTTCTCGCACTGCTGACGGCTTAATTATTTCATTAGGTTGTATTTGTAAAAATTGTTTTCTTTAATAATTGTTTTCTTTATCATTTGATTAGTTCTTTCCTATTAATTCTTGTTATCAATGATTCTTTCATGTATTAATAAATGTTTGGTTTGTTTTTGAAATCAAAATGGCCGTCTGCCGTTCGATTTGGTTTGTTTTTGAAATCAAACTGCCCGTCTGCCGTTCGACAAACATTAAAATTAAATATTTTTTATTTGTAAGAGTGCGGCTCTTGATGCCACCCTTTTTTTTCTATTTCTTAGTCCAGTATGAAACAACACAGTGAACAAAACGATACGAGGTAGTTGGAATAATATAGGTACGTACTCATCTAAAAAAGAATATAACCTCATTAACCACAACCTATATAATTGATAAAACAGGGGTTATGAATTGAAGAAAAGAGAGGTGGGTGGGTGGGTTGGATCACAAGTTTGGAGTTGGAAGAGTGTATATGTAGAAGAATACAACATTCAATCAGAAATATTAGAAATACTAAATGTATGTCGGCCCTTGTTAGATCCGTTGGTTGGGTATATCACATTCTTTCCTTGAGGTCTACGGGTTAATATGAGCCGGTGAAAGAAAAAAAAAAATCAGAATTCAATTCATACGAAACTCTGATTATATATGTTTGACTTAAATTTCTAAACAAACTCAAAACCATTCAAATCCTTCAATGAATTCACGGCGACTCAAGCAAGATATCAGCCTTCAATGAATTCTCACATAATTTAAGGACGAAACGACCAAAAACGGAATGCAAATATATAATGAATCAGCTAGAGAGAGTGCGGCTTCCCCAACAACATTGAAAGGGTGCCACTTGCATTAGATACCACAACTGTCACAATGGAATTTTACATTTAACTTGTTCAGGGTCAGATGTCATGTGATCGGTTTTCTCTAATCAATAATTCACATTAACTACTATGAGGAGGTATATATTTCACAAATCATTGCTGCCCGATCTGCATTGTATTGTAAGAATTTGTTCAAGCTATTGTATTTTATAGGGCATCCTCTCAAAGAAGTTAATTGGTCATGGTACTAGGCGGGCAATCAAGCTCTACTACTTGGACTTTGAACGACGTCATCAAACATATATAATTCAAGTTTTTGAGGCTTATGGAGATAAAGCGGAGTATCAAATAGGTGATATTTAGTCATGGGATAAAAGGCTAGGGCTTGCATCTTTGGATATCCTACAAAGTTATTTCCTTGTTTTCTTATCTTCATGAAATCGTTTTTTTACCTATGATATTTGTAATTTGGTGTACATTCATTTTCTTCCATTTCTCTTAAGCATGGCCAAAATACAATAAATAAAGGGCACAAGACTGTTTACTACCCTTATGTTTCGTGGTTTTCAACATTTAGTACATCAAATTTTTTTCGTCCCAGAGTCATACCTAAAGTGTAAATTTTGGGACAGTCTCATACATCCGTTAGTCAAACTGTTAAGTCTACGGTAAACTGATGATGTGGCGCTTATGTGAACAATAATTGGACGCCACGTGTCATTAAAGGGTCCACGTGGAATATTAAAAATTAAAAAAATTAAAAATAAAAACAATTTGTAATTTAAAATTAAAAAAAATTAAAAAACCAAACCTAAACCTAAAAAACCAATCTGGGTTCATCTATCTGTTCTTCTTCCCCACCCAATCTAGCGACCAACCCCTCTTTTCTATTTTCCCTCTATGCTCCGCCCTTGCTGCTTACCTGATGACCCCCTTCCTCCCTTCTCTCCTCGCTCAGCTCCAAGTATCTCTCCCCCCACGTCTCAATCCGTACCGCTGTCGTCCCCTCGCTCCAGCAAATCACTGAAACTCCTCCACAATCTACTCACCGACTCCGCCGTTCCCCAAATCTCCCTCATGACCCTCAACGGCCTCAAATCCTCGCTCTTGTCCAGTTTTTGACCCAAGACCGGACAACCCAGGAGAGGGGAGGAACAATGGCATCGGCAGAGAAAGAGCTCGAAGCACAACTTATGGAAGCTGGGAATCAGCTCTTAGAACCTTCGTCTTCTGTCCCTGACCTCCTTGATGTTCTCGACGTAAGCCCTAATTCCTCTTCGAATTGTTGGGTTTTCTTCTTCTTTTCGTATTGTGAAGTATTTGCGTCTTAGTTGCTTTCGTTCCGTGTTTAATTTCAAAGGTTCTGTTAATTAAATTGTTTTTTTGTGTGGTTATTTGTTAATTTAGTGAATTCGGGTTTGAATGTTGTTGCTGTGAAAGCTTCTGATGTGAGATTCAAGTAGGTTTTAACATTTCCGTGTTATTTTTTTGTGATTTGTGCGAAAGGAGAAAAGGGAGGGACGGGGTAAGAAGAAGAAGAAGAAGAGGAGGAGAGAGAGGGATAAAAAAAAGCTGGGGAGGGTGCGGGTTGCAGGGAAGAAAAAGGGTTTTTTTTTAATGTTTTAATATTTTTAATGACACGTGGCGCCTAGTCATTGTCCACGTGGGTGCCACGTCATCAGTTAAAGGAAGATTTAACAGTTTGACTAACGGATGTACGAGACTGTCTCAAAATTTACATTTTAGGTATGACTCTGGGACGAAAAAAACTTGATGTACTAAATGTTGAAAACCACGAAACATGAGGGTAGCAAATAATCTTTTGACCATAAATAAATTTGTGCTTTTTCACTCGGTTGATGATTACTGTTGTATTGCATCTAATGTTGTAAAAGCTATATATGTCAATTGAATGCCCACATAGAAATGTAAGAAAGATTAAAAATAGTAGAGTGGATATATTGTCAGGTTTTGTTGCTGTTGTATGGCATGACTTCCAACATGCATTAACTTCTCTTGTAGACTTTTGCACATAAATGACTTTATATAATCAAGAGCATGCAGTGTATGATCAATTACACTACACAAAAAATAAAAAAGGCAGAAAGTGAATACCAATCTCCCTTCCCTCTCTTTAATTGCATTCTTTATGTGATACAGTTATGAAAATAAACAATATGATACATTGCAGCCGATGCATTTCGATCTCTAAAAAAAGTTCTCTCTCACTCTCACTTTTGCCTATTTACAACACATAAAAATATTTGTACCCTTTGTAATTTGACACGTCAAAGAATTTGCTAATGCAGTAAAGGTCGTACCCAGTGCACAAGGCTCCCGCTTTACGCAGGGTCTGGGAGAGGTGAATGTCGGCTAGCCTTACCCCCATTTATGGAGAGGCTGCTCCCAAGTCTCGAACCCGAGACCTACCGCTCATGGACGAAGGCACTTGCCATCGCACCAAGTGCGACCTCTAATTTGCTAATGCAGTAAAGAATCAAAATTCATACGGCAGATGCAGGCCACCCGAAAGATGCAGTTTGGAACATAGCTCAAACAAGAATTAAAAAATTAATCTTCTAATAGTAACAAGTCATTTTTTGTTTATTAAATTTATGTTGTACTTCTTACTTTGCAGTCTTTTTATACCATTGGCAGTGCCGTCCCCAGCCAGACCCAGTTGTATTCTTCACAACCCTGCTATAAATTGACAGCATTTCAACTCATTTTGGCAACCAAATCGATTGAGCTCTTCTTCTCAAAACAACCACATTCATAGAAGCAAAGCTAACTCACTAATTTATTGTTGCAATGGCCTCTTCCCATCTATTCATTATCCTTGTCACTCTAGCAATTGTTGCCCCTTCTATTTTGGCTACAGATTTTGTTGTTGGGGACGATAAAGGTTGGACTATCAATTTCGATTACCAAACTTGGGCACAAGGAAAACAGTTCTATGTTGGCGACAAACTTGGTAATTAAACTGACTATCCCTGTACAAACTTGCATTTTCTTTTCCTTGTTTCTTTTTATCTTTGGCCATGGGAAGTAATTCGAAGACTTCTGTGATTTGTTTTATGCAGTTTTTAAGTATCCAAAAGGAGTCCACAATGTGTACAAAGTGAATGGCACTGAATTTCAACAATGTGCAGCTCCATTAGACAGTGTGCCATTAACTAGTGGAAACGATGTGGTCACCCTTGCAACCGCAGGAAGAAAATGGTACATTTGCGGTGTTGGTCAGCATTGTAAAACGGGGAATCAGAAGCTTCTTATAACTGTGATGCCATCATCTGCTCCTAGCCCAAGTCCCAGTTATACTGCCTCAAGCCCAAGCACCTCAATCCCCTACACCTCTGCAGCAATAAGTGTTGAAACAAGATATGGGTGGATGATGGTTATACTTGGCCTTCTCGTGATGCTGACGGCTTGAATATTTCAGTAGATTGTATCCGTCGTCATTATTTTTCGTCATTTGACTAATTCTTTCCTTTTAATTCTTGCCATTAGTGATTCTTTCATGGTTTTAATAAACAGTTCTGGTTTGCTATGAAATCAGTTTGATAATATTCTACAAACATTTATATGAAATAATATTCATGCACATTATTTGTAAGATGCTGTTATTTGATCCCACCCTTTTGTTCTATTTCTTTACCCGCCTTAGGATAAAACTATTCATCGACAAACATTTTTCTCACCGAATTTCATTTTTTTTCTTCATATTTTCTGTTTTGAAAACATGATCTCTAGTGGATATAGATAGAAGAACTGTTCAGATTGTTGATATCACGTTTAGATTTTTACGGTTAGTGAAAATATTGCTTGGAGTTTATAAATTCTCTATAAAATGTATCACACCGACTCATATTTGAGTTAACCTTAAACATCAGAACATGATATTAGTGACCCAAACCTTTCATTTTCGCATTAGCTAAAAGATCGTGTTTTCAAAAAAGAAAACCTGAAATGTAAAATTTGATGAGATGAATAGAGTGTAAACGACAATCGACAGTTAAATATAATCTAGAGTTTGTAGATTATGGTGTCGAATGTTGGAGTTTACCCCTTCACGAAAGTTGTAAAACTTGCCATTACGAGTGATTGTATATTTTCTTTTTACGTTTTCACACTTCTACATTATTATGATGAATTTTTATTAATTTTGCACTCTAACAATAAACACTATTCATGAGGGTTTGGAGAATTTTAAAAATGTAAATGACGATAAGGCTAACACACTAAATTTTGCACTCTAACAATAAAGCTAACTCACGAAATTTTTGTTGCAATGGCCTCTTCCCATCTATTTTTCCTTGTCACTCTAGCAATTGTTGCCCCTTGTATTTTGGCCACAGATTTTGTTGTTGGTGACTGACAAAGGTTGGACTATTAATTTTGATTACCAAATTTGGGCACAAGGAAAACAGTTCTATGCAGGTGACAAACTTGGTAATTAAATATAAAATCCCTACACAAACTTGCATTATTTTTCTTCTTTCTTTTTATCTTTGTATATGGGAACTAGTTAAAAGATTTTTGTGATTTATTCAGTTTTTAAGCATCCAAAAGGAGTCCACAACATGTATAAACTGAATGGCACTGGCTTTCAGCAATGTGCAGTTCCTTTAGACAGCGTGCTATTGATTAGTGGAAACGACGTGGTCACCCTTGCAACCCTGGCAAGAAAATGGTGTAAAGGTATAAAAGCACATGATCAATCCAATGGTTGATGTGCTACCATGTGTCAATAGATTAAGATGATAAATTTGTTAAGTTTGTTATGAGTTTGCTTAGTCTATTAGGAAAGTGTAGTATATATAAATAGGGCTGGGTTCGGTTCTTATCGGTTCGGTTTTTTGCCAAAACCGAAACCAAACCGAAATTTCGGTTCCGTTCGGTTCGGCCCAAATTTTTTTCGGTTTTTTTCGGTTCGGTTTTTTTTTCGGTTCGGTTTTTTCGGTTCGGTTTCGGTTTTTTCGGTTTTTTATAAAGCATTAGCGATTAGAATACCTATAAATTATATACTGGTACAGATATAGCAACAACAAGCCTACAGTCAAGTTGGCTTGAAGGAATTATCCCTCCTGGACGGAAGGGGTTCGATTCTTCATAGCAGCAGGTTTTTAAGTATTTATATTTAATTTTAAGTTAAAAGGTTTGTTGATTGCTCAAAAAAACTAAAAAAATTTTCTGAAACCCTGGAGGCATGAGGATTCGAACCCATGCGCAGGGGCTTGAAAAGTTTCAAGCAAACCAACTTGGTAACAGGTTATGTCTTGTTATGATTGTATCACTAAATTATTTATAATATTGAAAAAAAATTAAATATATATATTTGTTCGGTTCGGTTCGGTTTGGTTCGGTTTCCGAACCTTAAAAACCGAAACCGAACCAGTCAGATTCGGTTCGGTTCGGTTTGGCAGTTTCGGTTCGGTTTTTTTTCGGTTCGGTTTTTTTCGGCCTCAGTTCGGTTTGGTTTTCGGTTTTCGGTTTTCGGTTATTTGAACCCACCCCTATATATAAAGAGATAGTTTGTAAGGATTCTATGTGGAAAATAATGCAGAAGAATTGTTCTCTCATATTCTCTAAATTTCTGCAATCTCTTTCTCTCTCTCTCTGTGTGAAACCTCCATTATTAAAGCTTCAAGCTTATCTTCTTACATGGTATCCTCGCCGAGAATGGACTATTTGATTATATGTGTGAATGACTTTCTCTCTCTGAATCTGCCAATTTCTTCCTCAAAAAGTCTGAATATGATTCTCAAAAAGTGAAGTGCGTATAATTGCAAACCCTAGTTTCTCAATTTCTTCAAGAATCTCTTAATTTCTTTAAGATCTGTCATTTTTCTACAAGAATTTAGACAGTATGGTGACTATTGCACAATTACAGATAGTTCAGTCTCCAATTACGAACTTGATTCCTAATGTTTCGGTCTCTGTGACGGTGAAATTAGATGATACAAATTACTTGGTTTGGCATTATCAAATGTGATTGCTTCTTGAAAGTCATGAAATTCTTGGCTTTGTGGATGGAACACATCGATGTCCAACTCATTTTGTTGACGATTTAGATGTTGAAGGTGTTGAATCTGAAGTGTACCAAATCTGGAAAATGCATGATAGAGCTCTCATACAGCTTCTTATTGCTACTCTTTCTACTTTTGCAATGTCGTGTATCATTAGTGGTTTCAATTCTAATGAAATTTGGACAAATCTCAAGGACATATTCTCAATAATTACCAAAGCCAATATTTTTCAACTAAAGACTGAGTTGTAGAATATCAAGAAAAGGTATAAGACTATTTCTCAGTACTTACAGAGAATTAAAGATGCTCGAGATCATTTCTCAGCAGTTGGAGTTTTATTTGAAGATAATTATATTGTCATCCTTGTATTGAAGTGGTTACCGGTTGAGTATAGCACATTTCGTACGGTGATAAGGGGTAGAGAGAATGTTATATCTCTCAAGGACTTTCGAGCTCAGTTACTTGCTGAAGAAACAATTGTTGAGCATGCTCAAGTTTTGAATCCTTCACTACTACCATGATAGCACAAGATAATGTGTCCAAAGGAAAGACATTGGTGTTTGATGAAGGGCCTTCTAATCCTACAAATACTTAGTATCGTCTTGGTAGTTCATCTGGAGGTTCTTACAATTTTGGAGGATCTTATACTTCTGGAGGATCTTATAATTCTGTTAACCATAACAATAACTCTGGTGGCTATAGAGGACAAAATTCCAGAAGAAGAGCAAGAGGCAGAAACCATTTTGGTAATAATTTACGATTCTCTGGTCACAATCCTAATAATAATCCTGGCATCCTAGGCCCTGCAAGACCTCATGTTTCTACCTGTCTTGAGCACAACAATGACATACCTGTGTGCCAAATTTGTTACAAAAGAGGCCATATTGCCGCTGACTACTTCTAGAGACATTCTTCTACCACTGTTTCATCATCTCCAATGTAATGCCAAATTTGTTGGAAGTTTGGTCATTCTGCAATGAAATGTTATCACCAAGCTAATTTCTCATACCAAGGAAGACCTCCACCATCCTCCATTACTGCAATGCATGCCAACTATCAGCCATCTGCCCCTCAAGAGCAATTCTGGGTAGCTGACACTGGTGCTACATCCCACATGACATCTGATCTATCCAACCTCAATTTTGCCATTCCATTTACTGGCATTGAATCAATTACCACTGCAAATGGTACAGGTTTGCAAATATCTCACACAAGCTTGTGGCACAACATATTAGGACATCCCTCTAATACTATTGTTTCTCAAATGTTGCATGAATCTCAGGTCCCATTTTCAGTGGATCATTTTAAACATGTGTGTATATCCTATTTGCAAGGAAAGTTTACTAAACTTTCTTTTTCATATCCTGCAAATAAAATTGTAAAACCCTTAGGAATCATACACAATGATGTGTGGGGACCATCACCTACTTTGTCCATTGAGGGTTTTAAATACTATGTACTCTTCATAGATGAATGTACCAGGTTTACTTGGATATTTCCTTTAATGAATAAAAGTGAGGTGTTTCATAGCTTTGTGCAATTTCATTCCTTTATAGAAACTCAATTCTCCACTGCAATTAAGGTTTTTCAAAGTGATGCTGGTGGTGAATACACCAGCAACCAATTCAAACATTTTTTACTAGATAAAGGCATATTGCATCACAAGTCTTGTCCCCATACACCTGAGCAGAATGGCCTTGCTTAGAGAAAGCATAGGTACATTGTTGAAATTGCTCTCACTTTTCTTCAAACAGCTCATTTGCCTTCATAGTTTTGGTTCCATGCTTATGCAAATTCTGTTTATTTAATAAATATAATGCCATGCTAAACTTTATCCAAGAAGTCTCCATATACTTGTTTGTTTCAGAAAACACCAGTGTTAACACATTTAAAGGTCTTTAGATGTAGTTATTTTCCACTATTGAGACACTACAATACTTCCAAGCTTTAGTCCAAAACTGCACAATGCATATTTTTGGGATATGCTGGTCAATTTAAGGGGTATATCTGTTTTAATACCATTACCAACAAGTTTTATGTGTCAAGACACATTGTCTTTGATGAGAACACTTATCCCTATTTGGATCTCATTTCCAAGTCTAAGGTTACATAAACACCATAATTGTCTTCTTGAAATGTTGTACCACCATCAGTCACAATTTACAATGTTATTAAATCACACACATCATCATCATCATCTCAACCAGCATCTACATCATTGCATTCAACCCCTCGAGCTTCCGAGCCTTCTTTTATAACCCCTAGTGCTTCAGAGTTTTTGCCATCTCCCACTACAACTCTAGAGTTATTGCATTCTTCTCCCACCAATCCTATACCTTTGCATATAACTACTATTAACCAAGAAATGTCACAATCACCCTTGTCAGCTCCTCTTACAGCTACATAGTCTTTAATCCCTGTGGATCCTGATTTCCACCATGAAAGTCTAAGTATGGTTCTGCCAGTACCTTCTGTAAGTTTTCACCCAATGCAAACAAGGTCAAAGAGTGGAATTTCTAAGAGAAAAGATTTCTTAGCTTTTATTACATCATCAGTTATGCCTGTTACAGAACCCTC